GAAAGGTGGTATTTTATGCTAGTTCAAAAGATTAAAGCATCAAATTTATGTTCACAAATTAACACCTTTCAGAGATGATAATGCCTCATTTTTTTTTTTTTTAACCCAACTCTTCCAACAGAAACAGTTTTGTCTTCTCTCGACATTTATGCCAGATAGATACTTTGAATCAGGGGAGAGCAGGTATTGATCTAGGGCTTCTGGATATAATGAATCATTTCCTATCTCCCTATCTTCAAAACCCTGAATAATCTTAAAACAGCAGATGAGTTGCTTTGGGTTCTCCAATTAGAGAAATATACTGGGATAGAGAAGGGCACTTGAGTCTGCAGTAGAGTTGGGTCCTGTCTACATCAGCTTAAGAGATAATATGCACCAGTTTTCTTCTGCAGGGAATCAGGACTTTCATCAGAGCATCCTGAATGACTTCCTCAGCCATTCTCTGATGTACACTGTGGACTGCTCTTCAGTCTTTAGCAACAGTATCTTTATCCCCAAGTGGTTTTTGTTATTGTTTCAGAAAGGTTTCATTGGAGTTCTACAAAGAAAAAGACCACAGAATTAGGGAGACTGCTTTATTATAGAAAATAGTCATTGGTGCATCTAGCAAGTATTTGTTTTAAGTAGCCAAGCATAGAGGCTAAGAGCATTAGGCTCTAAACCTAGATATCATGGGTTAAAGATCCAGATTTATTGAGTAATTTTAAATAAATTACTTAATCTAATACCTTGGTTTCATCATCTGTAAAATGGGTACCATAATGGCACCCACTTCACAGATTGGTGAGGAGATTAAAAACATGGATACATGTAAAGTGCCTGGCATACAGTTAAACCTCAAATGTTAAACAGCATTATTAGATGTTACTGTACCTTTAGGAACCTGTGTTTAGTACTGCTAACGTACTGGGAGGAAAACTTTCTTTCTCAGCAAAGTAGAAGATAAGGATTCTTTTTCCAGGTGGATGCAGTCTAAAACACTACTGATTGATACTTAATCATTATGGAAATTATGGCAAGTGCATACTTCTGGGAGGAATGTACTGATGTGTATAAGCATGTGTGCTGATTTAGTTACTTGACAAAAAATTTCAGGCAGATCTTTGTTTCATATGATTGGGCCCCAGCATTTTATGAGAAAGTGACTAACCACAATCTTTAACCAAATTCCCTGATCTTTGTCTATTGGCAAGCTGTCAGTCGTGACTAAATTGGTGATATGAAGATGAAAGTCCACGATTATGAACTCAAGAAGTAAAGATATTACTACCAGACTGGGCTATTTTTTTTTTTTTTTTTAAGTAGGCCCAGCATGGAACCCAGCACAGGACTTGAACTCACGACCCTGAGATCAAGACCTATGCCGAGATCAAGAGTCAGAGGCTCAACCAACTGAGCCACCCCAGCACCCCTAGATTAGGCTATTTTAGATAAACCTTCAAGTTAATAGTCTTTACACTCCAGTGTGGGTCAGTTAGTACTCCAAGATTACTTAATTGTATCTAGTCATTGCCCTATGTTTTTTGAAACATACCAATAACATGGAAGGACAGAGCTAGGGAAGAAGTGGTCCTACGATTCTAGAATCCTACTGCATCTAGTGGTTATAATCTAATGTGTCAAAAGAGCTACACAATTCTGATTAAAGAAGATCTGGTTTTGCCTAACAGAGATATTTAGCTTTTTATAATGTTTACTCAAGAAATTGTAATTAGTGCTTCATATAACTTGCTCTAATGGACTTGTCATGGTTAAATTGAGCTAACTTCATGTAATGATTTTTAAAAATTTTTTGGTAATATTAATGTAATAAGAATGAGGTAATATATAATTCTATATAAAAATTATATTGATCTCTTACAATTATAAAGTATGTTTAAAATAATTTTATGATTCTTTGGATGGAAAATATGTTATATATGAAGATTAGAAAAACTTCTCCATCTTGCATTTTCCCTTCATTTGAGGCAGTATGTTTCAACTATTATGTAACACTGTCTGTTTCAGCAAAAAAATCCAACTTTTGGAGCTATAAAATATACAGAATTGAAAGCTGACTCCTAATATATGTTTCATTAGATACAGATGTTTAATGTGAATTCTTCAAGTAGTCATAAAAATCAGAATAAATAAAAATTGTCAGGTATAATGCAAAAAGCAAAAATCATACCTTTTGGTGAATTGCTAATAACTTTTTAATGAAAGGCATTTTTCTTTTTATACTTTACAAGTTCCTTTAAATTCATTGTAATCATCTTGTCACTTAACATTATGAATAGAATCTTTAAATTGCCATGGAACATTACGGAATACAAATACCTAAGGCCTTTTTCAAATATAGAGAATCTTATAAGTAATTTATAAAGGAATCATTCAGCAATTTGGAGTAAAATCTACCTTCTTTACCTTGAAATCTAATTGGTAATTTTGAAAATATTTCTAATATTTACTTTTCATACTTATTTCCAAAATAACTTTCTTACTAGGAAATGCAGGCCAATATGGTGAATGCATAATACAAATTTTGTTGTGCTGATTTTTTGTATCCTGAAAATATTACTTTTATTCCTGAATTAAGTTGAGCTGTGTACAATTTAAAAATAATAGTAGTTTTGTACAGGCTACCTCTGTGGTGAGTAGTTAGAGCTTCTATGTTTTACCACCTGCAGAAGTCATTATCTTAACTGGGGGGGTTCAAATGCAAAGTATCCAGTGGGGGAAAAAAGAACATTTTTAAAAGGTAATTTTCTTTCCTTCTTTACCTGCCCTTCCCCCAAAACAGTCAAAAAATTTTTTCAAACAGATATTTCTTGAAATCCAAATATATTACGTATTGTAAGTTGAACTTTAAGCCAACAGTTTATCTGTTTTCCAGTTGGATTATATTTAAATGTTCATGGGTTTGAGCTGCATGCATTTTTTTCTTAAGATAAAAGCTAATCCCATGAGATTCTCTGTCTAAAACTTTTTCTTTTTGCTTGAACTTAACTACTTTTTCCAAAAATAGTACCCAACATTTTCTCAAAGTTTTCCAGTAGTTTATTTCTTCATTTGTAACCTTACATGCTCACTGAACACATTTTTTAGGTGCCTACCAAGAAAACAACATACTTAAATCTGTAGGAATACACAGATACACACACAGACATACAGACACAATATGTCCCAAGAGGTTTGAGGAAGACAAAACTTTACACAAAACATATTACTAGCGATAGAAGAGGTTTGATAAGTTGCCAAAATGAGTGATGCCCTTGGGTGCGACCACATAGAAAAGAGATCAGTATCCACTAGGAAAATCTCTTTCTGGATTTCTGATTAAAGGAAAGAGAGAACTTGGTCAGGTAGGTACCAGGGAGGAGGACATAGTAGGCAGGGGCCATGCCAGGAAGAAAGGCACGGCAGTAGGATTGGGAAGTCTTGCTGGAGGAACTCTGAAGCCAGGGTGCAGACCAAGAATTGGGGGGAGTATAAGGATGTTAAATTAGAAAGGTGAATTAGAAGCATAAGGGTCAGTCTTTTGATACGTTCAAGTGGTTATATTTCATATTTTGGGTGGCAGAGAAGACTAGGGACTATACAATGAAGAAGAATAATGACCCAATGAGGCTGGTGTTTAGCAGTCATAATTTTAGCCATGAGTATGATGTGTATTGGAGAGAGAAGTTGAGGGTACAGTGAAGAACCGTTGTTTTTGTTGTTAGAGGTTTAGGTATCAAATCATGAAAATTTTTATTAAGATTATGGTACCAGAAACAGAAAGAATCATGAATCTACAGGACTTGTGACTAATATGTTATGGGAAATTAAGCCAGGAAAATAAAATATGCCAAAACTTAGAAAATTAGAGTACCAGGAAAAGGAGAGAGCTTTGGGGGAAATGAATTTAAGAAGCATATAAGAAAAAAATTAATTGGTTTATAAGGCTGAGGGAAAAAAAGGAATCAGGAGTGACAGGTATAGGGTAGAGGGTTTCTTTTGGAGGTGATAAAAATGTCCAGATTGTTTGTGGTGATGACTGCACAACTCTGTACTAAAAACCACTGAATTATACACTTCAAATGGGTGAATTGTAAGGCAGGTGAATTATGTCACAATAAAAATTACAAAATTAATTACAAAATTAAAGGGAAAAAAGAACAAAATATGTTTTGGGAGAATATAAGAAAGAAGACAACCTTTAACTGGTTAAATGTCAGGGATAGACAACTGTGACTAATGTTCAAATGAGCAGTAGTAGAAGCTGAGTGGTTTGGATAAGATAGAAGAGCAGAGATGAAGCTGATAACCCGTAGTTCAAAGATGGTAGTAAGAAGATGGGTGGTGAGAGAGGTAGACTTTCTTTCAGAGTTTATCTCTTGTATTGGTTTTACCTGTAATATCTTAATCAGGGAAACAAACTCGATAGAACTTAGAAGTGCGATTTATGCATCGGCCATGCTAGTACAGTTGCCAATGGTGGCTGAATTTTGATGTACCTTCCTCTATTTCAAATTAAAGAGAAGAGAGCTTTGGTGTCTTATAACCAAAGACATAAGCAAAACACAGAATGCCTGTTCTGCTTTTGTCTTTGCCTTGCTGCCCAGAGTAACTGAACGGGCTATTGAGGATGAGAACTGAATGAATATCAGAGGTCAAATTGTACAATCATTGACAAAACTGTTTGGGTTTCATTGACTGGTTGGTTTTTATTCCTCTTGATTGCCAAGTGGTGGAACTCTCACGTAGGATATCACTTTGCCACTTTTACCATGAAATAAAACTTTAATGCAGTTGAAATTATGTTATGAAAATATAAAATGTTGAGATTCTTGCTGCCAAAGGAAAACATAAAATTCCAAAGAAACCATTCTTTTCCTTGAGTTCCCATCCCAGATATTTGTAACTCAACTGGAATAGAAATTTTGGTGATAAAAACTGTGTCAAATATGCTGGCATGAATGTCACCTTTGCACTGGGGAATGATTGTGTTTCTATAATGCTTCTCTTTGTTACTGCAGGGAAGGAGATTACAGCAGAAACTTTTATGGAAAAATTGGATAATGGTGCCTTGCTCTGTCAACTTGCAGAAACTGTTCAGGAGAAATTCAGAGAGAGCATGGATGTTAACAAGCCTCCAAAGGTAAAAGATCCCCAGGCAAAAATCATTCAGGGAGTGGATTTCATTTATGAAATGAACGGAGTTTAATTTTAGTATTTTGTTGTCAATGGGCATATTAATATGTCTGTTAACAAAACACAGAGGATGCATTTTAATTAGACAACATATTATTTGTACTCTGATTATGTAAATTACATAATCCTTTCAGTAAGTCTAATTAACTAGAAGGTTATGGAAATTGATGGTATTGATACAAAACAAGGACTGTGTATAAACTGATTTAGTCTGATGTATTGATTACAAATTTAGCACAGAAATATTTACGTCATCAGGAGATGAAAAAAAAAAATCTGGCCAAGGATGGTTTACTAAATAAATCTTTGTTTCCAAATAGATCATTATGGCAGATTATTAGAATAAAGTGTCTAGAGTGTATAATTTTTTTATTGGTTTTAAATAAGTTGTAGCATTGAACTAAGTCCTTTGGACAGTTTTTTTCCCTGAGTGCTCAGATTTCTTTTCTGCATATATTCTTTTTTTCTTTCTTTTTAAAATTTTATTTATTTGAGAGGAAAGAAAGAGATATACAGAAAGAGAGCATGTGCTGTGCTCATGCGCTCTGGGCTGGAAGGGGGCAGTGACAGACAGAGAGGGAGGGAGAGAATCTCAACCAGACTCTCCACTGAGTTCAGAGACCAACCTGGGGCTCAGTCCCAGGACCCTGAGATCATGACCTGAGTCGGAATCAAGTGTGGACCCTTAATTGACTGAGCCACCCAAGTAGTCCCATATATTCTTTCATGATTATTATAAGCACATAATGAGAGTATGGTGCTTGATACTTTTTGAAGGAAAGAGATAGTTGACACTTCTCCTAATTTTTGATAGAGAAGGAAAAAGGTAAGAAAAAAAATCAGGTTAAAATAATGTTGAAAACAGCTTTAAATGAAACGAACAAGAAAATTGAAATCAATGAACTGAGTTAATGAGTAAAAAAAGAGTAAAGAAAAAAAAAAGAGTGAAAACCTGCTGCTCCCGCTGCTTGTGTTCTCTCTCCCTCTCTGGCAAATAAATAAATTTTAAAAATCTAGGAAAAAAAATAGAAAGAAAGAAACTGGCCTCTACTTCAACTTACCAAGGAGAAAACAACATCAAAGAGGAGGACAATTTACGTAGAAGGTTCACTGTGAAATGATTCGTAAAGGGATAAAATTGCTGGGCCCAGATTCTTTGGAGAGTGTTATGTTAATTTGCATTGGTCCTAAAACTTCCATTTGATTTGCTTATTGTTAAGAATAGTGATCATTGGGGTGCCTGGGTGGGCTCAGTGGGTTAAAGCCTTTGCCTTCGGCTCAGGTCATGATCCCAGGGTCCTGGGATCTAGACCCACATCGGGCTCTCTGCTTAGCGGGAAGCCTGCTTCCTCCTCTCTCTCTGCCTGCCTCTCTGCCTACTTGTGATCTCTGTCTGTCAAATAAATAAATAAAATCTTAAAAAAAAAATAGAGACCATTGCCTCAGTGTTTAGGTCTTAAATCCTTCATAGTAACAGAGAATAAACAACTCTACAAAGGCTAGTGTAAGGTTTTCTGGTTTTGTTTTGCAAGCTTTTGCTTGATAAAACAGAGGCTGAGGAGCACCGGGGTGGCTCAGTCAGTTAAGCATCTTCCTTTGTCTCAGGTCATGATCCCAGGGTCCTGGGATGGAGCCCCATGTCAGGCTTTCTGCTCAGCAGGAAGTCTGCTCCTCCCTCTCCCTCTGCTTGCTCCTCCCCCTGTTTGTGTTCACTCTCTCTCTGTCACATAAATAAATCAAATCCTAAAAACAAGCAAACAAATACCCCCCCCACCCAGAAGCTGAGATCCCCAAATAGAATTGTAATCCTAAAACCGTCAAGAGCAAGCCAACCCCCCAAAGCATTAGCCTGTAATTCGAAGGCTTAGGTGTCTTGAGCACATTTTGCTTGGGTTCCAGTTGTGTTATTTACTAATTAGACACAGCTATCCTTTGTTTCCATACCCATAAAGTAGGAGTAATGATTATGCATATATACTTTCCAGAAAGCATGGCATGAAAAAGACTCTAGATAAATATTATTTCCCTTCCCAATGTGAAAGATTTAAGAGCTCCCGATGAGAATTTTTGATTTGCTAGAAGAAACTAGAAGAAAAATTTAAGTACTTTGCGAATGTTCATAGTTGACATGATATATACAAATAGGTTGAAACTTTGCCCTAAATCTCCGTATGATAATATGTAATATTGAGAATAGTTATAGATCAAGATTTTGATAGCTGTTTTTCCTTTGAAACATTCATTTCAAATTATATCATTTTTATAATAAAACTATAAAACATAAAAAGAAACAAATTAAGCTTTCCTTTCAAAGTGAGTAAAAATGCAGCAAAGTTTTATTAAACTCAAAATACTTCTTTGACCCTAAGCCATTTGTTTAAATATAAAGTTTAAATTTATTCTGATTATGATAAATATATTTTAGTATAAAAACTCAACTGTGATAATTGAACAAGTGTAGATTTAAAAATACTCTTTTTGACCTCACTTTCAGTGCTCAAAAAATCAAATTTAATCTGAGTTAGAAGTTGACACAATTACTCTTGACTGAATTACCTTCTGTGTCCTTGGCAGAATTATATATTTCACAACTTACTTCCAACAATATGCAGCTTAAATCAAAATAGCATGTGTCTTACTATATGAAAAAAATTCAAAGAAGGCTAGTTTTTCTTTTTTACATTTTATGAGAAATTTTTCAATAGATGAGAAGCCAAATAGCTAATACTTCACAGCTATTATGGGTCATAAATATAATTTTGTCAATCCATTCAGGTTTGACACAAGCATTTTCATAAGTCCAATATAATTTTGTTTTCCATCCATCTTTTGCCTAAAGCAGGAATAGACGTTATACGAAATTGCACATTTTGCTATTATTAAATTGAACTTTTAAACAAGAATAAATTTGCTAAGACCCAGATAGGTGTACATTGAACATTTCCGATAGAAAAAAAGGAGGATTTCAAATTGTGTATAAATAACCTGTAGGCTACAGTAGTGTATGTGTGTGTGTGTGTGTGTGTGTGTGTGTGTGTGAGCGTGCGCGCGCGCTCACGCGCGTAGGTAATTATTGTCCTGCTGGGCATTTTAAAATCTAGGAACAATAGTGGTAGAGACAGATAACTTGGTCAATACCTTAGATGAATTAGAGAAACTGTTACAGTTAGGGAGATGTTAAAACAGAATTACTATTAAGAAAATCAACTACGAGGTGCCTGGGTGGCTCAGTTGGTTTGGCGGCTGCCTTCGGCTTGGGTCATGATCCCTGTGTCTTAGTCCCACAACTGGGCTCCCTGCTGGGCGGAGAGTCTGCTTCTCCCTCTCCCTCTACGTGCCGCTCTGCCTACTTGTGCTCTCTATTCCTCTGTCAAATAAATAAATCAAATCTTTAAAAAAAAAAAAAGAAAATCAACCACAAACTTGATCCCACCTAGAGTCGTATCACAGGAAGCCCTTTGTAATTTTCTCCTAGCACTTAAATTTCACCCACTTGTTCTCACAGCAATATTTTTACTCTTCCTGATTGATCTTTAATTTGGAGAATTTACAGCTGTGTAAACACATTTGAGCAAGGAAGTTATGCCTGGTATGTGTGAAGTATGTCCATGTTAAGAGTGACTTAAACACTCCTAATATTTGCAAGTGTATTTAATAAAGACATTAGACAGTTTACATATTTAATATTTTAGTTATAAATCCATGAGTCATATCCTATTATGGCTTGATAAAACGCTGTGAATGAAAATAGATGATATCCTATGATTTTTTTCTTTCTAGGTTTCAACAGATAATAGAAATAGACTCCCTACGTTTTTAGCTATTAGTAGTTAATCCTAGCCTTTGTATTTTCTCACTTTACATGAAACAATGCAGAATTTTCAAGGAATTAGGCAATAGTTAGGTATATGCTTTTGAGCCTAGTGTACAGCAGTTTAATGTATAATCTGATTTTGATTAGTTTAAATGTCCCATAATATGATCAATTCACTCTAACTACAAATGTTAATATTCCTGGAGCTCAGGACCTTAACAGGCAAAAAGCTAACCCAAACTAATCTTTCCAATATCCTATTGGGATGGGAAACCAAAATAAGTGATAAATCCAAGGTCAGATTTTATGCTTTTTGACCTTTAGTCACCTGACTCAATGTTGACATCTCCAATCAAGACAGAATAATTGTTACATTGATGTATGACCTTTCACTTCCTGGTCCAGACAGAATTCAACTCTATGAACCCCTTGTTATTGTATATTTACTCTCTTCTTTTTCTACCAGTCATGACTTGCTGATTTGTGTACGAGATACTCTCAAGGATGGGGGCATCAACGTGGTGCACGACATTCAAAGGGTTCAACTCTATTTTCCTCCTAACATTCCTTTCTGTTTGTCTCATTTATCTTGAGAGTCCCTGCCCCAGACATCAGAGTTTCCCTGGGTTCAGAGCTTCCTTTGAGTTCAAAGAGCCCTGGGTGGTTAGATCAGTTTTGAAGCACATGAAGGGAAAAGCCAAAAAAGAAGTTCTGTTACCTAGTAGAATGCAACATTATGCTCTAAGGAAGGAACTGAACATTCACCATCTAAATGTAGAATCCAGTCCTTGTTTGGGGAAAGAACACCCTAGTCAGATAGAATGTCCATAGGACATTTGCCCATCAAGAATATCTAGTTCTCTGAGCTGCAAGATAATGCTACCTCAGGATATTTTGCCATCCAGGAATTAAATAAAACATAGAGATTAGAGTTTTTCCCCTCAAAAATCAATAGCACATTTTGTTTAGAGAACATCTTATCAAGATTGATTTAAGAGAAATCCAGAAATGTGTGTTTACTGCTGATACCTCTGACGGAACAAGAAAGTGTGGTAGAAGGGATAAAAGGTTTTTCTTGAAAAGAAAATCTCAACTGTGATTAGAGTCATCTGTATCTGGCTATGCAACTAAAA